CGAACAGTGATACACTAAATACTGTTCATAAAACACTAAACAAAATTTGCCGTCCACTTTGTCGCTACGTTGGAGCTCAATTTATCACCAAATATAGTATTTTGGTGTCTCATTGGAGATGACCTTAGACACAAAGGTACCAAATAGTTCTTTGAAAATCTCCATAAATCTGATAATGATCTCCTGTTATCACGAGTTTATGATGGATAATGTACTGCTTAATTGAGGATCTGCGTTTTTTGCCAATAACCACTGATTATCCTGTGTTTAAGACGATTATATTTTGCCATTTTTCCATTGCCTAATCGCTTATGGACTAATGAACATTTTTTTTAATTCCTGAACATTTCTTTAATTCCTGAAATTTTTCTTCTTTTGTTTATGCAGCTTCAATCTGTGAGAATTTGATTCGCTCGTCTTATAATTGAGACATGCGATGTCTTAGCCATTAGGTCATTCAGAACAATGGTCTTGATAGTCAGGTACCAATGAAACATATCCGTTGGTGGACGATTACAATTCACTGCTGAGAGTCCGGCCTTTGCTTATGCAATGCGCATAAATGACTCTAAATGTTTCTGAATGAAGAAAGGGAATGTCCAGTTTGAAACTTAACTCTTCTTTGTTGTGATTTTAATTGTTGTCACTACCTTTGCTACAATTGCATTCAAGGTAATGTATTTACTAATTTTGTGTTGATGTTTAGGTTGGTTTTTGAAATAAAATTTCTAGTTTGTTTTCTTCAGGTTCAGTCGCAAATCAGTTGACAACAAGAAGACTTATCATATGTCATGCTCTTGATTGTCACTATTTCATAAACTTCTCAAATTTGCCTCCTAATACAAGGACCTTGTACCTAGATTTATTTCTTTCGGACTATGTGGACAACACTTTTAATAGGAGAACTCGTTTTGCAAAGTGTGAGTAAATGATTACTTTTCATCTAGTTAACAAAAAAAAAAAAAATTGCCGTCCACTTTTTCGTTCCGTTGGAACTCAATTATCACCAAATATAGTGTTTTGGTGTCTCGTTGGAGATGGCCTTAGATACATAAGTAACAAATAGTTTTTTGAAAATCTTGAATCTTTCTGTTTCGTTCCTCGTACAACAAACTACTAATTGATTCTCGGGCTAATAAGGCCTCATCTTCCTTTGTAAAGGGCTTAACCAAACATTTTAATGAAGATGAATCAACCTTGGTACAAAAAAAAAATACATTTCCGTAGATGTGCAAGAGAAGAACTCATCAATTCCAAACTATAACTCCATATAACACTTGAAAGACTTGAATTGGTCTTTCATGGGATCTTTTTGCTTTTATTGATTTGGTAAGGATAAGGAAGAATTACATGTATAGCATATTTTTAGCAAGATTTTTAAAGAAAAATGGAACTTTGTGCAAAGACATACCATTATCACTTCAAGAATCATTAAGCCAATGTTGTTTGAAATGCATACCACCAGGAAAAAAAAACATATGTTATTCCAAATGAAAACAATTAGTGAGAGTGTCTTTTTTTTTTTACCTTCATTATCTATATGCTATTGAATAAAAAAAAAAACTTTGTTAATGTTATTATATAAAGCTCATCAAAGCTTGACATTTAGATTTTAATACATGGTTTAGTATTTTCAATTTTCTAACATAATTTTGTCTACCTTTATTTTTCAAAAATGTTAAAAATTGTTTTAAAAAACGACGCTAAAACCGTTGAGGTCAAAAAAATTTCGCAGCGCTTTCTTACATAACACTATAAGTCTATAACTCATTTTTCTATCGTTTATTGTTCCTCAACGTTGTTTATATAAACTTATTTACAAATGAATTTATTATTGTTTAAAAAAAGATGCCAATTTTATATTTAGCATCATATTTTTGGATTGATATTCATTTTTACCTGCTTTTTAACACAATTTTTTTTTTCAAACTTCTTAATACAAAATTAGTGGAAAAAAATAAGCATATGATAAAAACGGCAAGCGTTTTCCATGTCATTCATCAAAACGTTGATCCAATTCTTCACAACTTCCCAAAACGCCTCAACGTTTCATTATTGTACAAACCTACGCTCCGCTGTTTTCAAGACCTTTTCGTCTTCGTCGTCAAATCTAGCTTTTTTCTTCATCGCTTTGCATAATTCATTCCTTCTTCTCCATCCCCTTCCTCTCTCTCCTTCCTCCGATCTTCTTCTTCAATTCGGAATCTTCTCATCACGATTTCAAACCTTCATCGATCCTTGATCGTGACCGATTCAATCAAATTTGGAATCACAATTTCAAATCGAGAGAATTTCAATTTCTCTGGTAAAACCCTAAAATTATGTACAGCAATTTCAAGGAACAAGCGATCGAGTACGTGAAGCAAGCGGTTCATGAAGACAATGCTGGGAATTACAATAAAGCTTTCCCTCTATACATGAACGCGCTTGAGTACTTCAAAACTCATCTCAAGTATGAGAAGAACCCTAAGATCAGAGAAGCTATTACCCAGAAATTCACCGAGTATCTCCGTCGTGCAGAGGAGATCCGTGCTGTTCTCGATGAAGGTGGATCGGGTCCAGGATCTAACGGTGACGCTGCGGTTGCAACGAGGCCAAAGACTAAGCCCAAAGATGGAGAAGGTGGTGGTAAAGATGGAGAAGATCCTGAGCAATCGAAGCTTCGATCTGGGTTAAACTCTGCTATTGTTAGGGAGAAACCTAATATCAAGTGGTCTGATGTTGCTGGGCTTGAAAGTGCTAAACAAGCTTTGCAGGAAGCTGTGATTTTGCCTGTTAAGTTTCCACAGTTCTTCACAGGTAATTTGAGCGATTCATTGAAGATTAAAATGAGTCTCTTTATAAAGTTGTGACCTTTAATCTGTGGTTTGTTTACTTCTTAGGAAAGAGACGGCCATGGAGAGCTTTTCTCTTGTATGGGCCACCAGGAACAGGAAAATCTTATTTGGCTAAGGCTGTTGCTACTGAAGCAGACTCTACCTTTTTCAGGTAAGATATGTGTTTGAAATATTGAAAGTATATGGTAAGAGGATAGTGTAGTGTTTTAGCTCTTTCATTATAGCTTGAGACCATAGTCAAATACTATGAATTTGAATAGTTGCTAAGGATGGTATTGGAGTATTTTGGGATTAGTTTGAGGAAGGGGTGGTGGTCGTTGATTTTGTTTGTGTTTGAATTCGAACTTTGTTCTACGAGTTCAGATAGAAATATTAAGGAAAGGTTTGATTTTCTTTAATAATTTATATGCAAAGTCTGCTATATGTTGGAATATATGTATTAGTCTCTGCTATCTGTACATGGCTACATGCACAAGCATCTGCAACCAGATTTTAAAGGCCTGGTAGAATCTAAATAGCATATTAGAGTACCAACAGCCAACACATGTTGATTTAAGTAGGCAAGCATGTAGATCCCAATGTTGTTTGCACGAGGTACTTGGGTTTTGAATTAGGTCTGGCTATGTACTTTATGTTGGTTGTTTTTTCTATGTCATTTTTGTGTTTACAGTGTTTTTACTTGGAAACATGTTATAGCTTAAGAATAGTTGTTTCCTTTTTACTTCCCAACCATCAGCGTGTCTTCATCAGACCTGGTCTCGAAATGGATGGGTGAAAGTGAGAAGCTAGTATCAAACCTTTTTGAGATGGCCCGTGAAAGTGCTCCATCGATTATTTTTGTTGATGAGATAGATTCTTTGTGCGGTACACGTGGAGAAGGAAACGAGAGTGAAGCTTCAAGACGTATCAAAACAGAGCTTCTAGTGCAGATGCAGGTGCAAAGCTTATCCAAACTGAACTCTCTGTCATTCAATTTTAGTAGAAACTTTTTTTCTCTATACTTATCTCTGTTTCTTTTAGGGTGTTGGACACAATGATGAGAAAGTACTTGTACTTGCAGCGACCAACACACCCTATGCTCTTGATCAGGTGAAAAGTCATAAGATGGCTTGGATCTATATTTTATTTTCCAGTTAAATACTGTTTTGCTAACACCATGTTAATTTCAGGCTATTAGACGACGTTTTGACAAGCGTATCTATATTCCTCTCCCAGAGGCCAAGGCTCGTCAGCACATGTTCAAAGTATTATTCATTTGCTTCAAGTTCCTCAAGTAAAAATCATTCAAGGGAGACATAACCAGTTTACTAATGAGATCTGTTTTGTAAATGCAGGTCCATTTGGGAGATACACCTCATAATTTAACTGAACCTGATTTTGAATATTTAGGCCAAAAGACAGAAGGGTTTTCTGGTTCAGATGTGTCTGTTTGTGTACGTGACTTGGCCTGAGTTATTTCTTATTGTCCTTAATTTCCCTCTATATTGCTATAGATAGATAAGCCTTTGTCTCAAGAATATTTTTTGACTTTTGCAGGTAAAAGATGTTCTGTTTGAACCTGTTCGTAAAACTCAAGATGCAATGTTCTTTTTCAAGTCTGCTGATGGTACATGGATGCCATGTGGGCCTAGGCACCCTGGTGCCATCCAGACTACAATGCAAGATCTAGCAGCAAAAGGGCTTGCCGAAAAGGTACGTATCAAACGTGTAAATTCTATCATGAGGTTTTGTGTTTTAATCTTCTCATAAATCTGCTGGACGATACAAACTTTTAGCATGAGTATGCACAGCTGTGCTTGCAAAGTTCATTAGGTCATATGATACTGAGTTTCTTGGTTTTCGTAGTCATTAAGCTTTGGATGATGTGAAACTAAAGCCTGATTTGTGTTTTTTTATGTGACTAAATTGCTACAGATTATTCCACCACCAATCACCAGAACCGATTTCGAAAAGGTACTTGCTAGACAAAAGCCAACAGTGAGCAAGTCTGACCTTGATGTCCACGAGAGATTCACACAGGAGTTTGGAGAAGAAGGTTGATAGATTTGACATTCCATCAAGCATCTTTCACAATCATATTATTATTAGTCTCTTCACTTTCTCCTTATGTATGTACTGAGAAGCAAAACAAAATCTCAAACCCATGTTTGATTTCATCCCAAAAACATTGAATTTGCTTTATTTCTCGAAATGTGTAAAAAAATGTTCTGAACAATGATTTCTAATCACCAAAAGTCTCCACATGAGCAAACTCCATCACTGCTAAAGTGATGAAACCGATTTGAATCTCTAACTACGATCTCTCTTTCTTCAATCTTTGCAATTAATTTGATAACTACATGACAATCTCCACAAACCCTAAGGTTCTTAATGATCAAAAGAGGGCTTCCCTTTGGTGTAGCGATCAACCCGAAAGCAATAGCTAATCTCTCACTATGTTGAGCAAGAACAGCTTCTTTATGCTCATCATCAATGTCTTGCAGCACATAACTAGTATCCGGCTCATACCCTAAATCCTTCAGCCGTGTACTTAAATCTTCCAGCTTCATATAGATCTGATCTTTGAGAGGATGAGACCGATCACCAGCCAAGAATGCGTAAGTCTTGTTCTTGACCTCAATCCAACTGTAACCAGGTTCTTTCTTCACGTTTCTCTCATTCATCAGCTTCCTTACTTTGGCCCTCTCTTGCCAATCTCCCGACTCTGCATACATGTTAGACAACAACACGTATGCAGCTGAATCCTCAGGTTTCATCGCAATGATCTTCTCTGCAGCTAATCTCCCTAGCTCTGTTTTCTTGTGCACTCGGCATGCAGCTAGAATTGTTCTCCAAATGGTGGAACCAGCCAGGTTTGGCATGTTGTCTATGACCTTCATAGCCTTTTCAAGTTTCCCGGCTCGGCTGTATAAATCCACCATACAACTATTATGCTCCTTTGTAGGTGCAATCTTGCAGTCTCTCACCATTATATCAAAATACTTTTCGCCTTCTTCTACTAACCCTGCATGTGTACAAGCAGCAAATACTCCGATGAATGTTACGCTATCCATTTTCACCTTTCTCTTCTTCATCTCCTTGAAAACATCGAGAGCCTTCATAGCTTGCCCGTGTTGTGCATACCCAGAGATCATCGAATTCCATGATACCAGATCTTTCTCTCTCTGCCTTTTAAAGACTTCTTCCGCACTCTCAATGTGGCCTTTCTTTGCATACATGGTTAGAAGAGCACTACTAACACACAGAGAGCTATCGAGTCTTGATTTTATAGCGAACCCGTGGAATTGCTTTCCCTGTCCCATAGACGCGGTGGTAGCCGCACACACGTTAAGGATGCTAGAAAATGTGAACTCGTTCGGTTTTACCCCTCCTTTTGTGAGCTCGCTAAATATATTTATAGCTGCCTCTGTCTCCCCAGCCTGAGCATATCCTGCAAGCATCGCTGACCAAGTCACAATGTCTTTATTATCAATACCGCGAAAAACTTCTGCAGCCTCATCTACTTTACCTAACTTCACATAAGCATCTAGAAGAGCGGTTCCAACGGTTGAAGATCTCTCGTAGTTAGTCTTTACAACCTGTGCGTGGACCTCTGATGGAGAAATTGCAGGAAGAGCTGTGAGAATGACAGAATAAGTGAATTCGTTTGGTCTAACACCTTTCCTCTTCATTTCCGAAAATAAATCCACTGCTTCCTCTTTCCCATTATTCTGCAAGAAACCACTAATCATCGCTGTCCACGACACAACATTCCCGAGGAATCCCGTCTCTTTGAACAGCCTAAGAGCATCAAGCATCGCCATACATTTACTGTACGCTACCATTAGAGCCGTCCTTATATTTTGATCAAACACAAACCCGTATTTTACAACACTGCAATGCAGCTGTTCCGTAAACCTCAGTTCTTTAAGGTTAGCACACAGCTTGATAATGGAGGCAAAACTCGATTCAGATAACCGCACATGATTAAGCCGCATAGAGTAAAACATTCCCAAAGCTTCTAAATCAAGCCCGTTAGCTGCATATCCCGAAATTATACTATTCCAAGTAACCACACTCTTTACTTCCGTTTTATCAAACAAAATTCTAGCTTTCCTAACATTCCCACACTTGAGATACAGATTAATCAGAGAATTAGAAACCGGAATCGTTTTATCTAAACCGTTCTTTACAACAACTGTGTGTACCTGAAGTCCCCTCCCACCCACTCCTTCTTCAGCCAAAACTCCAAGAGCAGCTGCAAAAGTAAACGAGTTCGGCTGAGTCCCTTCGTTCTGCATTCTCATAAACAATGTCAAAACTTCCTCATTCAACGAATTCCTTGCATACCCGCTTATCAACGTAGTCCAAGTAACAACATTCCTCTCTTTCATTTCATCAAAAACATTCCTTCCATCCTTAAAGTTACTACCTTTCATATAAGTATCAACCAGCGATGTTCCCACACTCACATCATCTAAAAACCCAAACTTTATACACTGACAATGCAACTGTCTACCAAAAAGCTCATCACACAAAGTAGCAGAAACCTTTAAAACAGAGGAAAAGATTGAGCAGTCCATCTCCATCCCCAAACGATGGATATTCAAGAAGAGTCTCGTTGCTTCTTGAGTTCGCCCATCACGAGAAAACCCAAAAAGCAAGCTTGTATAACTTTCCCTATCTCGGTCAGGACTTTTGTCGAACAGGTTGTGTGCACTATATAAACGAGAGGAGGAAGCAGCGCCAAAGCAATAAATTCGAAAATTGGGTTTAAACTTTTCCAGAGATTGAGGTCTCCATGTTGTCGTTGCGAATCGCATTTGCTTTTCAAGATAACGAACCGATATTTTGTTGGTGTTTTCAAATTATTCATTTTGAGTTATAAGTTATAACATACTACCTCGACGTAAAAGTCGTTTTCTGTTTTTTTTTTTTTTTTTTTTTTTTGTTGTCATATCGATCGATGATATAATATTATTATTATAACTTAAGGGAAAATTAAAGCATGATCTTAACAATATAATAACCTCGGACACTAACAACACATCTTTTGAAATTACGCTAAAAATATGGTTAATTCCGCTACTCATTTTCGTGGTTAGCATTTTTGAAATGCTATCATATGATAACATCATCCAACATTTCATCTTTACTAGCAGTTATGAAAAATGAGCTATTATAATGTACTATCAATGATCATATTTGTTGTAGTGGAAAAAGCAAAAAAGAGAAGATGTTTTGTAGTTTTCAATCCATATTTTGGTCCGTTTTGGTTTGGTATTCATTAGATTAAAGGTGAAATTGTCATTGCTCATCCTTTTCATGTTGACTTCCATCAAATACCCTGTTTCTTTTCGTGCGAAAACTTCCATTAAATACCTAATCAACTTGCTATAGATATTAGCACAAAATGTGCTACTTACTAATCTAGAATATATTGCTATTCACCCTAAAATATATTGCTGGATCGGCCATCCTCTAATATATTAATACCCTTGTATTGTTGTCTAAATAGACTTCTTCTTTGGTTTACTTTACCCCTAATTTTGTTTTGCGTCTCACATTGCTATCTCCGTCTCATAAGTCAAGTCTTTTGCGTCAGACCTTGATCGCTGACTCGATCCACATTATAAGGGATTGTCGCAACTTGCAATGTCCCAATATCTTTTGGTTGGAACAAATTTAGCTCTTTTCATTATTCAAGAAGTTCTTGTAAATGATAAGAATTTTGTTTAATACAAGTTTTGGTTTGGTTTTGATTTAGTTTGGTTTGAGATTACTGTCCTAAAGACAAAAATAAAATAAAATTGATCATTTCATGGCTCTTGATCCTTCGTCTCGCAGTTGGATACACGATGTCTTCCCAAGCTTCCACGGAGCAGATGTTCGTAACAACTTTCTCAGTCACGTTCTCAAGGAGTTCAGAGCAAAGGGAATCGACATATTCATTGATAATGATATCGAGAGAAGCAAATCTATCGGTCCAGAACTCGTAAAAGCTATCAGAGGATCGAGAATCACAATCGTCTTGCTCTCGAAGAACTACGCTTCTTCGACATGGTGCCTGAACGAATGGGTGGAGGTTATGAATTGTAGAAAAGAGTTTGGTCAAACAGTGATGACCATTTTCTATAAAGTGGATCCAACTGATGTAAAGAAGCAAACTGGAAAATTTGGGAAGGTGTTCATAAATACTTGTGAGGGTAAAACAGAAGAAGACATTCAGAGATGGAAAGAGGCTTTGGCAGAAGTGGCAACAATTGCTGGTCATCATTTAAGGAACAGGTTAGCTTTATTGATCTCCACTTTTACTTTTCAAAGATAGATTCTTGTAAGTAACTAGAGTCGTAAATGATTATTAATAGATGTAAAATGATTATTTGATTACTAATACTATATAATTGATGCATAGATCTGTATTTTTTTATTAATGGTTTAACATTAATATGTTCCTTGTTAGGTCTAACGAAGCGGACATGATTGAAAATATTGCGACCAACGTTTCAAATGCACTAAATAACTTTTGCCCATCAAACTACTTTGAAGACTTAGTTGGGATTGAAGCTCACATGGAAAATATGCTGTCTTTGTTATGCCTAGAATGTGATGAAGTGAGAATGGTAGGGGTTTGGGGTCCTCCAGGTATTGGTAAGACGACCATCGTTAGAGCCTTATATGAAACAATTCGTAGTAACTTCTCTCATACTGCATTTATGGTGAGTATAAAAGAAGTCTATACAGTACAGAACCGCGACAACAATGAATACATGTTGCAATTACAGGGAAAACTTTTGTCTGAGACATTAAATCAAAAGGATTTGAAGATACGTCACTTAGGTGTGGCACGGGAAAGGTTGAAAGAAAAGAAGGTGCTTGTCATCATTGATGATGTGGATCGGTTAGTACAACTAGATGCTATGGCGAAAACAACCCAATGGTTTGGTTCTGGAAGTCGGATTATCATAACAACACAAGACCAACAACTCTTGAAGGGACATGGGATCGATCATATTTACAAGGTGGATTATCCAATTGATGAAGAGGCACTTCAAATCTTCTGCTTGAATGCTTTTGGTCAAAAGTCCCCTAAAGATGGTTTTGAGGAGCTTGCATGGGAAGTTACCCAACTTTCCGGGAATCTCCCGCTGGGGTTAAGTGTAATGGGCTCCTATTTTCGGGGAATATTGTCCAAGCAGGAGTGGATCGATGCACTACCAAGGTTGAGAACTAGGCTTCACCAAGATATCAATAATATTTTAAGGTTCAGTTATGACGCCTTATGCAATGAAGATAAAGATTTATTTCTTTATATAGCTTGCTTTTTCAACCATAAAAGTATTCAGACACTTGAAGATTTTCTTGCGAATACGTTCTTGGACTTGAGTCACGGGCTTCAAATTTTAGCTGGAAAGTCACTCATATCTCGGGAATATGGATTTGTAAAGATGCCTAATCTGTTAGTACAACTAGGTAGAGATATTGTTCGTAACCAATCGGTTCAAGAACCTTGGAAACGCCAATTTTTGGCTGATGCTAGAGAGATCTCTCAAGTACTCACGAAGGAAACTGTAAGTTTTCACATTAGTCTTTCAATATAATACTGCCTTGTTCCCTCCAAACTAAGTTCAATTGATAGCTAACCATATGTACTCTTATTTCATCTTCTTATTTCCAGGGTAGTAATAGTCTTGTAGGCATGGATCTCGACTTATCTGAAATCAACGGTGAATTTAATATTAGCGCCAGATGCTTCGAAGGAATGTGGAATCTCCAATTCTTAAGATTCTATGGAAAAGTTGAAGATTATAATGGTTGTAGATTGTACTCTACACAAAGTCTGATATATCTATCCCCAAAACTTAGATTACTGCATTGGGAACATTTTCCAATGACATGTTTGCCTTCTAGTTTTATTCCGGAGTTCCTCGTTGAACTAAACATGCGTTACAGCGAGCTTAATAAGCTATGGAAAGGAGTTCAAGTGAGTAAAAATTATTTGTCTCGTATAATTAGATTTCAGTTTTATTTTCAAAATGTACAGTAGGCTTTTATAACTTTTGAGATTCAAAAATAATGATTTTAACACTCATCTTTTTAACTCAATTAAAACTTGATGGCATAGAGGTATGTTTTGTCTCAATATATTTTTATTTCTTTACTAATAAGCACATCTTATTTTCGTCGTATTTTCATCGTATGTGTTGTTTTATTTGTCTGGCAGCCTCTACAAAATCTCAAGTGGGTGGATTTGAGTTATTCCAAAAATCTGAAGAAGCTTCCTGATCTCTCAACTGCCACTAATCTCGTAAGTTTAGATCTCAGTCACTGCTCAGGGTTGATGGAGCTACCCTCTTCAATTGGAAATGCAACTAATCTCTTGGTTTTGAATATCGAATATTGCTCAAGCTTGGTGACTATCCCCACCTCCCTTGGAAATATTCCTAATCTCAAGATATTTCTTGCTGAGTGCTCAAGTCTGGTGCAACTCCCCTCTTGTATTTGGAATATCACTAGTCTCAACACGTTTAATCTCGACAATTTCTCTAGTTCAGTCAAGCAACCCTTAATGTGGAATGGCAGGAATTTCCAGGATTTGGATCTCAGTGGATGCTCAAGTCTAATGAAGCTCCCCTCTATTGTTAATGCCACTAGTATCAAGAATATAAGTTATGGTGGAAGATCATTGTGGATGGGAGTCTCCTCTATTGGGAATATCACTAATCTCAATAAATTAAATCTCAGCAGATGCTCAAGTCTGGTGGAGCTCACCTTCTCTATTGGGAATGCCACTAATCTCCATGAATTAAATCTCACTGGATGCTCAAGTCTGAGGAAGATCCCCTCTTCTATTAGAAATTTAACCTATCTCCACACATTGGATCTCAGTGGATGCCGCCCAAGTTTGGGGAAACGTGTTGAAAGAAGAAAAGAAGAGGTCTCTCCTCCTATAGTGGAAACTGCACCAGTGCCCAAGTCTGGCGGAGCTCTCTCGTTTATTAATTTCCTTAAGAATTAATTACGGATTTTGCCCTTTTTTATAATGGCATTTATGGATTTTTCCCTCTTTTGAATAGTTTATGGATTTTGCCCTTTTTAAGGCTCCAAAAATATGATTTAACATGCGTTTCATTCGTTATGTTTGGGTTTAGTCGGTTCCATTTGTTCTTAGGGTTTAGTATTCGGTATAATGTACGTATTTTTGCAAAAAAAAATCATAAATACGTACATTTTTAAGTGTTAAAAAATGGCAAAATCCATAAACTATTCAAAAAAGGGCAAAATCCATAAATGCCATTATAAAAAAGGGCAAAATCCGTAATAATCCCCTTTATTATTAGTGGAAATAATGGATCATACCTAATAAAAGGTATATAAGACAAGTCTTCTAAATAGTTGCCTTTTCTATTTGATCAACGGCTCTCACTGGTTCTGTGAGTCTGTATGTTTAGCTCCTTTAGAAATGCTTTTCCTTTTTCTCTTTAACAATTCTGAGTATTCTTATGTATAAAACTCACGACTACCCATGTGGAAAATATTGATTAGTCCCTAACTAGATTGCTCCTTCCACAATTTTACATTTATCTCAACTTCCCTAAATGCTTTAAATTGATTGCGAGAGACCTCATCATGGACACCTCGTTGACTCTTGGATGTTTTAGGTAGAGAAGTGCATGGATTCGTTACTTACC